AAATCTAGCCCAATGATGTAGTGAAATCAGCCTTAGAAGAAGTTTTATTCAGCAACTTCAGTAACATCCTGGGAGAGTGAGCCACAAATATAGCAACCTCATGGGCAGGGTAACACTTGATTTTGCAGAGTGATCCTCTAAGAGATATCAATACAAAAAGAAATACTTTGGCTTAGTAAAAGCATTGTTAAGTTATGTGTTTCCAAGGAAGCGTATGCAAGTATACGCATAAAAATAGTCTAGGCTGGATGTTATAAAAGAATAAAGAAAAATAAGCGTTATCAGAAGGTAAGAAGAAGTTAACAGGTGACATAACATTAAGTTACAGTATAGAACCACAGAGGTTTGTGCAGGAAAAGTTAACACTTCGACTGGAATCAAGACAGAGCTAACTTTGCATCCTGGTTTTGGCTGGGATAGAGTTAATTTTCTTACTAGCAGCTGGTATAGTGCTGTGCTTTGGATTTAGGATGAGAATAATGTTGGTAACACACTAATATTTTAGTTGTTGCTAAAGGGCCAAGGACTTTTCAGCTTTTTGCACTGACCTGCCAACAAGAAGGTGGGGAGAACCCAAGAAGCTAGAAGGGGACACAGCTGGGACAGCTGACCCCAACTGATCAAAGGGATATTCCACACCATGTGATGTCATGCTCAGCATATAAAGCCAGGGGGAGAAGAAGGAAGGGGAAGATATTCAGAGTGATGGCATTTTACTTCCCAATAACCTTTATGCGTGATGGAGCCCTGCTTTCCTGGAGATGTCTGAACACCTGTCAATGGAAATTAGCGAATAAATTCCTTGTTCTGCTTTGCTTGCATGCACGGCTTTTGCTTTACTTATTTAAAGTGTCTTTATCTGAACCCACCAGTATTCTCACTTCTACTCTTCTGATTCTCTACCAAGTCCCACCATGGGAGAGTGAGCGAGCAGCTGTGTGGTGCTTAATTGCTGGCTGGGGTTAAGACACGACATTTTGAAAGCCAAAAGTTAACATACAGTGCATGATCAAATTTGATGTTAGAACTAGCATTTAAAAGCTGGAAAAAAAAAAAAAAGGAATCAACACCTAAATACATCAACTGCTAATTTAAGAGTGGAACCAATGGGTAACAATCATTTCTGGTCTGGTGAACAGTTGTTTAGTATAGTAACTTGGATGCATAAGAAAGCAGAAATGCAATAAATGGAAAGAGCACAATTAAAGTAAGGCAAGCAAGGAAAATGTTCTAGCTTGGGTGACTAAAACAGCTATCGACAACAGTCTTGGCTAGTTTTGTCTTCCATAGCACAGAAGATAAAATAAACCATTTCAGCCGTGTAAGTATTGTTAACTATACATTGCTTAGTTCTGCTTTTGCTGGTTTTGGTTTCATTAAATGTACATTTACAAAAAAGATATTCCTTACAGGTTAATTAGCAGAGTTGAAGCCTGAAGTTAAAAAACAAGAAGAAAATATGAGCAAATAAAGGTAATGAAGAAAAATGGATCTGATAAAAGTTGGCTGTATTTCCAAGAGAAACAAGTTTATCTTGTGGAGACAGATGTGTTTCTTATCATTAAGATCAGTGAATGAATAAAGTGAATGCCTCTGTTTCCACTATTTTGAGTATTATTAGACATTATTACAATGAATCCGTAATATGGTTTGTGTCTTAAGATGCAGAGAATAATGCTGCATTATAAAGAGAAGGTTTCTTTTTCAAAGTTGTACTACTACAAGTGGACTAAAAATTATACTGCCAAAACTGATCAGAATCCTCTGACTTCACATGGATGAAAATTAATGTAACTTAGGACGGATAAAGCTGAAATATTATATCTTGGAACTTCTCAAACCAATCTTAAAATTGTGATGATTAGATGTGAAAGGAAGCAATAGAAATGCTTAGCTTTTCTATAGTGGTGTTAGAACTGGAAAATATTACTGGCAGTAGTATAAATTGCACCCAAACGCAAGCGGTAGCAATAAGAATAGAATATTAAACACTGTAAGTAGTGGGGTTTTGCCACAAAAAGGTAAATAATCTGAATGGTCATGGCAGGGGGTGAGGCGAAACCAGTATCTAGACTGGTGTACATACCAGGCAAGGAACAGAATAAAACCATGTCATTAGGAGAAATAAAACCCAGGATTTTATGTCAAAAGTAAAGATGACTGCCAAATAATAGATGCACAAACCCCACTAGCATTACTGAAAATAATCTATCGGTCTCTTTGGATATCTAAAGTAAGAGCTTGATGCATCACTAATGGTGTATTAATAGAGCTAAAAACGCCTTATGAAAAATGGAGGTATAACAAATTCATCTGTCCTACATGAATACAGCCTGAAGAATGCTGCACTTGAAAGCAGCAACAACCACTTGCATGCGAGTACCAATTAGCAGCTAATGTTTCTCACAGCTATGATACAGACAAAGAACACGCATGCAGCTGTTTCTAGTATCTGGCCTGGTGAGGATTACATCAGAAAACTGAACCCCACGTAGAAAAAACAGTAACATTCTTCCTGTATATATCAAGGATGAAACAGTGTCCACCCATATAATGCATCAGCTAATCAGAATTGTATAACGTGGTAGAGTGCTACACTGGGATTAGAACAAACTTATCGGTGAATCACAATAAATAGAACAAGGAGTTAAAGGATGAGGAAACCTTAAGTCAGAAAACCAACAGCCACTACAGTTAAGTGATGCAGAAACCCTAACTATTTACCATCGGTGTATCATTCTTAAAGGATGCTCACAGCTATACTACAATTAGTTTTTTTAACACCTCACAGGTGTTTTTTGTATTTCAAATTGTGTTGTTAATGATGACACTTGTAATATACCAATACATTGCACACAGGTTTTCACATCTTACCACTATGATCAACAATACTTAATAAGGTAGCATACCAATTGCAAAAGCATTCTGAAGCCAGGATGATAATATATTGGAAAGAATCAATATGCATATTAACGTGGTACATTCCAATACGGATACTGTCCAAACGCAGAGAAAAATGTAAGGACTTGTAACAAATACATTAAAATTGTATTTAAATGAAGTAAGAATGTGTGTATAAGCTTGTGGTTTAAGCACCAGAACACAGGACTCATTAGCAGAAGGTCCTGTGTTCTGACAATGGGGCAACAACAACAAGGTTGCTGCATTTCATACACACAGCTCCTTTTTCTGTTAACCCAACAGGACAGTGGAGCACAGCAAAGCACCACACCAGGCTGCCGTGTTACAGGCAAGCTACACCACTTGGGAAATAAAAAACCAAGTAAGAGTTGGTGCTTCTGAGCGCAACAGTGAAAGTGTGCAAACATCAACTATTTAGACATTTTGTAAATAATTACCACCTTCCTCTTCCATGTAGTCTTTGTTATGCTAACTTCCTACATAAGCAAATCCCTTTATCTGGAATGTTTGGATTAAATCTTGCAGTAGTACAATACTTCTAGCTATAACTCCTCAGTTTTTCCTCTTATCTGAAAAGGAATACATACACTGATTAATTAAAGAGCAGTAACACTTATAAGATACCTTTGTAAAGGGCTATGGAAAACCTTTTATAAATGTATTTGGATATTATTTGTCTATAAAGAAACCCTGTAAGAAGCAGTGAAACATAGAACCAGTGCACAGTAGTCTGAATACATGAGAAAGGAGAGGAAGTATGCACACACTCTTATCAAACAGTTTTTCATGTTATCAAGACAATTATATCTACTATTCTATCCCCTATTTTGAAATAACAGATTTCTGACTATAAAATTAGTATAGATTTTAAGGACATGGACAACTATCACCTCACCTAGAAAGAACTTAAAAAAATTTCTTACTTTACTTGGGTTTACTATTCATTCTAAAGGAAAGCAAAAGTACAGTTTTACCTGAGACCAAAGATAATCAATCCACTTGTTAAAAGATCCAGGGAAGATACGCAAGCCTTCTGTCTCATTTTGAAGATGGGCATTGACAATAAAATTACACAGAATGTATTTTGTAACCACCAGTTTTCACTAAAAAGTCAAACCAAGGTTAGGGATTTATTTAAAATTAAAAGTAAAATTCTAATTTCACTGAATTTTTCACTGAATTTCACTGAATTTCTAGAGTTGGAAGGGACCATAGAGATCATCTAGTCCAACTCCCCTGCTGAAGCAGGATTGCCTAGAGCTAGAGCATGTTACTCAGGACTACATCCAGGCGGGTTTTGAAAATCTCCAAGGAAGGGGACTCCACAACCTCCCTGGGCAGCCTGTTCCAGGGTTCCGTCACCCTCACCGTGAAGAAGTTTCTCCTCATATTTGAGTGGAACCTCTTATGTTCCAACTTGTGCCCGTTGCCCCTCGTCCTCTCGGTGGGAACCACTGAAAAGAGTCTGGCTCCCTCCTCCTTCAACCCTCCCTTGAGATACTTGTAGGCGTTGATAAGGTCTCCCCTCAGCCTTCTCTTCTCCAGACTAAAGAGTCCCAGCTCTCTCAGTCTCTCCTCATAAGGGAGATGCTCCAATCCCTGAATCATCTTTGTAGCCCTACGCTGGACTCTTTCTAGTAGTTCCCTGTCCCTCTTGAACTGGGGAGCCCAGAACTGGACACAGTACTCCAGTTGTGGCCTCACCAGTGCAGAGTAGAGGGGGAGAATGACTTCGCTTGACCTGCTGGCTACACTCTTCCCTATATGCCTCTCTGCTGTGTTATATTGCCAGCAGATATCAGGGAAATTGAAGTCCCCCATGAGTACAAGGGAGAGTGATCGTGAGGCTTCTGTCACCTGCCTATAGAATACTTCATCAGTCTTTATATCCTGGTTTGGGGGTCTATAACAAACTCCCACCACAATGTCTGCCTTACTGGTCTTCCCCTTGATCCTTATCCACAGGCACTCGACACTGTCATCATGCATATTGCTAAGTTCTAGGCATAGAAGACTGTTCTTAACGTAAAGGGCCACCAATTGTTTAGCAGTTAAACAAAAGGCAACTTTGAACATACCCAGCAGTAAGCCATGTGCTGTATCTCCAGGAGACTGCTTTCTAGATGCTTCTGCTGAAGGTAACACTCCTTCCTCCAGCGTAGGGAACTCCGTCAGGTCATTTCTATCACAGGTCAGGCCAAGCTTTGTCTCCGAGGCAGCAGTTAAATAGCTGGCATCCACTTGTGCTGGAAGTTGATACCATGTCTCAATACCCTAAGAACAGGTGGGGACAAAAAAGTGCTCAAGCATCAAGTTTTATAAGACTTATTTCCAAAGGAAATAAAGACTAAGTTATAAAACAATGGAATTATTACTTCTAAACTGTATTTCCTATAAAAATACTCAGTTTTTAATGTAAAGAAATTAAGATGCACTATGAACTGCTGAAGTCCACAATCAGTTCTCACTACTGCCTAAGTTGTCATTGCTCATTATCTGATCACCAGCCTTCCATCACTTGTCTGAAACTGATATCCATCTCCAAATTCTGCCACTGCAGAAGATTTTTTTCCAAACCAGAATGAAATCTCTTACTTAGAAAGAAAAATCTTGAGAAGGAAAAATGTTTCAGTAGGATGCTGGGCCAATACAGTTCCTGACACTGGGGAGTAAACACGGTTTGCATTGTACAACCTGGGAGTAACAAACAGAACAGTTTCTCATTTGTCTTTAAAGAAAGCCTCTAGTTACAGAAATTCTGAGTTCACAAAGATAATACCTCAGAATCCTAGCTGACTCTTTGGTGTATTTTAAGAAAAAAACTTTCAGTTCAGGTTCAAATGGGGAAGAGCACCTTTTGTTCAAGTAATTCATTAAAGAATTTGCATTGGGATTACTGGAAAAGTAATTAAACAGATACATTTTAATTATAGAAAAGGCACACACCAGCTTTCCCTGCAGAGAATTAAAAGTATAAATCATTTATAAGGCAAACCATCAATAAAATATATAAATTATAATTACATATACATTAAATGTCCCAGTGAATTGGTAGATGTACAGTACTATCCCTACTTAATAGCTGCAAACTCTTCTACCTTTTGAAACACTAAGGTATTAAAAGCTACTTTTCACATCAGAATTTTGATATCTGAACTATAATTTTTGCACAAGATTCTTATAACCATTTGGAAATAAAATTTTTTATCAAATCCATCTTTTCAAAACACCTGTGACCTTACACAGTTCTCAGAGTAATTAAATATTTGGCAGCATGTCCATCAAATAGAACTACTATGACTGTATCACAACGCAAATACGTTTTCCTTCATCACATATGGAACACATCATTAAAACTAAGGTCTAAACGCAGTTAGACAGCACAGAGTCATGCTTCAGTTCATGTGGTGACATGTAAATCACCTATTTTGAAACAGACAGATCTGACAATTTAAGAGGCAGAAGCAGGACCACGATTATAGCCCATTACAAACTGAACACATATCAAAGATACTGTTGCAAAGAAGAAAACATTACACTGGAAAATATCCTATACCAGACATAACCAGAAAACAGAAGAGGGAGAGGGGAGAAAATAAAAAATAAAAAAAATAATAAAAAAAAAAAATCAGTGAACTACTGGGGATTCAGTTTTTAATATATCAAAAAGGTTTGTAGTATTTCAATCAAGAATAGAATAGATGACTTGTCAGAGTTCACAACAGCCCTATTTTTCTGCAGTTCCGAGATAACAGAAACACAGAAAGGCAGAAAGGTGGAAGTCTAAATTATACAGATAAAGCACTTCATATTGTTTTCAATCACGTAATTAACCTTCAACCACAACCAAAACAAAGCACAGTACAAATACCCAATTAACAGCAGTTTTCTGACGTATTGCTTCTCCTAGGGAGATCCCACTTGTAGCGGATGCCTGAGTTTCACTACTGCTGCGGCTTAAGGATTCCTCCTTCCAGCCATGATGCGGTGGAGTTGTTGCAATAGGCTAAAAGAAACAATGTGTCTTTTTAAAACAGAAAATAATTTATTGGTATTTCAACATGTATATATATTTAAGTAATGGACAATGAAATACATAAAATACTCAAGCCATCCCCAACACCCAAAGTGAGGCATGTACCTCAAAGTACTTAGGCAGTGACCTAAATTCCATCTGGAGTTCCAAAACTTAACTAAAGAGGGTAGTAGGTTCATTTGCCACTTTAGATCCTGAAAGCCAGCAAGCATGAGTTCCTGCACATTAACCTATCATTTCTGAGGGTCAGAAATTTCTTATTTCCAACCCATGTACATGCAGTTCTGAATAAATCACAAAATACCAAAAAGACTTATCACCTTGATCAAAGTCAGGTTCTAGCATTTTTCCTGTCTGGTTCATTTTTATAGTAAGTTGTTGTTGAGTATTACAGTAATAGTAATTTTATATATATATATATATAATTAACAACAGAAGGTTTTTACTGGTATCAATGTTGTAAACTAAATGTTAAAAGGCATCTTACATAAATATCTTAAGGCAAGTCTAGGTTGATTTCTAAATTCTAATTTAGCAAGTTACCTCACACACTTTGAGGTCACAAATTGAAGTTAAATTAGACTTCTGCCTAGAAAAGCAGAAGTAACTTTTTTTTTTTCCCCACAAGGTACCAGAGAAAGCTGTTCTGCAGTCAGAATGAAATTTCTCTATGATATCCCATGCCAGAGGTCACAGTGACTGTAACAGCTTTCCCCAGACAAGACAGACAGCCAGGTTCAAACACAATGATATATAATTGAGAAAAGAGACAGTTTTGGAACATCAAGATTCAGGTCAAACAAATGTTCCAGAAAAGTATCTATCCACTTAAAAAAAACTGGGGACTAACACTGGAGAATATCAGGTAATATTAATGTAGCAATTTAACATGAAGCCTCAACCAGAATAAGGACCGGTATCTCCCACATCTCTTTAATACCCCTCCCTGTCCTCATCCTCTTGCTCATGTCAACTGTAGTTCCAGGTTAACCCAGTATTAATAACTTTTTTTAAAAGCCAAGCTACCCTTGGACGTATTTTTAGTAACCAAGGCAGCAAACGGCGAGATCTGAAGAACACTGCAGGGAGAGCAAGCAAAGGCAGGAGGAAGCTCCCCACCACCTACTCGTGTACTGTGATTTAGGTATCTACTGTCTGGAGGTATCTGGCTGCTGTGAAAATTACAACAGCCCTTAATGTGGGCAAGCACCCTGTGAAGGGCAGAAGTAAAATGTCTCAGACTGAGAAAGATGCAAATGATTTCCCAGAAGCCTGCCTCTACATAAATAATTATAATACTGTTGGATATGCGCCTTCAGTTAGGAAGTCCTCCAGTGACAACTGTCTTTTTTTTTTCTCAAATAGATTTTCTGATAAATTGGTCTAATAGTCATTTGTAAATTTCCATTCAGTAGCACAGACCTACCTTGCTGGGAGGGGGGGAAAAGGGATAAGCCAGGCTCACTATAAATAAGCCCGGGGCAGTGTTTGAAAGATGGTCTGCCATCTCAGGGGAGATAGAGGATGGAGATCCATGCGACAGCAAAGACACAGGGGTCGACAGTGCTAGTTTAATGGTTGGGCTTGATGATCTTACAGAATCATTTAGGTTAGAGAAGACCTTTGATTCTATGGACTGAGCATACCATTTGCAACCTGTTATGGTTTAAACCCAGTCAGCGGCTAGAACCATGCAGCCACTCATTCACTCCCCCAGTCTGGATGGGGGAGAGGAAAGGAAGAGTGAAAGTAGGAAAAAGCCTCATGGGTTCAAATAAAGACAGTTTAATAAGTAACACAAAAGCTGTGCACACAAGCAAAGCAAAACAAGGAATTCGTTCACTGCTTCCCATCAGCAGACAGATGTTCAGCCATCTCCAGCAAAGCAGGGCTCCATCACACACAATGGTTATTTGGGAAGACAAATGCCATAGCACTGAACATCCTGTCCCCTTGTTCCCCCCCCATCCTTCTTCTTCCCCCAGATTTATGTCCTCCCAACTTCTTGAGTCCTCCCAGCCTGCTTGCTGGCAGGGCAATATGAGAAGAAAAGGCCTTGATTGCTTAGCAACAACCAAAAACATCCGTGTTTTACCAACACTATTTTCATACTAAATCCAAAACTTATACTATGGGCTGGTATAGAGCTATAAGCAAACTTCATCCCAGCCAAAAAAACTAACACAATCTTTATCACAAAAAAAAAAGCAAGCCATGAGAGTTTGCATGAAGACATTAATTACATTCTAAGAGAAGAGATCAGACACAAACTTCGGGAAAAGTCCAGGGCACAAACTTGTTTCAATGTAAATGAAACATGCAAAATTCAACATTTGAGATTACTTTCTTTAAATGTGAATATCACCTACTAGATTAGCTAAACTGACACCTGAATTCTGCTTCATTCATATTAGGCACTAAAAAGCTGGCAAGGATGTGAATAAAAGCTTAAGACTTTTATTTTAGTTTGTTACAAGACTACTAGTCCATTTTGGAACTTAAGAAAGGTGAGTTCACTTGACTAGTTATGGCACCTCAGTTGAATGCAATTCTTACACAAAGCTTACCAACATCTTCAATCCATCTACAAAAAATAAATTACAGCCATCACAAATGAATCTTTCTTTATCTCTTATGTTCCTAAGAAGCCATTCATTCTGGATTTACAAATTTCAGAGAAGCTGAAGAAAACCCCTTCAATTTTGACTCACCTGTTCAAGAGACACATGAAATAATCACCTTTCAGTGGCTGGGCTGTCACCTACAGAGAGAATTTGTGCCTTCCCCTGTAATTCCCAATGACCAGGTATTCAAGCTTCCAGTGAATAGCTTATTTTCACCCTTACTAAGCCAGAGAAAATGCAGAGCTGATGACAGGCTGAACTACTCTTGCCTTTAAAGAGCATTTGGTCAGGGGACTGCCAAGACCCACTAACTAACCACATGGTTAGTTAGTTTCAGCCCCAATTCTGCTCATGAACAACAGGTAACTCCTGAACTCTTCCTCCCTGGAAAATGCAGCCCACTTCATTTGTAAGATGAGGTTCCAGTTTACAACTTTTCCTTTTACCTCTTATATGCCCAGTTCTTCCTTTAAAATAAGCCACTTGCTGAAATGTTCAACTGCAAACTAAAGAACATCATCGGGGCAACACCTCTGCATTTTTCAGGCACAGTTACAAAAACTTCAACTCTACAGTTATCTCACAAATTTTAGCTCTTGGAAGGACAACAACTTCCAGAATTTCAGTACCACATGCCATCTTAAATCCCTCCACAAAACAGCATGACAGAAATAAACACATGACATAGCTTTCCATACAGGCCAGCAGTGTAAATTACTTGGAATGGCAAGAATATTTTTGCCCAAGTTTAAAAAACCTATAGCACTCAAAAGGAAGATGATGTTAATTACTGATCATGCGTAAATCACACCTATGAAACTAGGACTCAGCCAGGCAGAAACTATTCTTCCCAATTAATTCTCTGCACAAAATGAGTTGGTTTGGGCTTTGTATCCAGACTACAGATAATAATTGTAACCTGTATGCATATATTCAATCCCAATCACATTCTCCTAGTTCCTATTGTTCATACTAATCAAGTCATTAAAAGAAACAGCACTGAAGTGTACATGACAATAGCTTTGAAAGCGAAGCATTCCAGTAGCCATTTGGTAATTTAATTAAGGCCTATTATTGAAATTTTTGTTTTACAATATGCATCTTCAGAAAAGGGCAATTTTATTAATCAAACTGGAAATTAATAGTGTAAGGTACTGGAAGTTAATAGCATTAGGTAAGGGACTCGTACTGTAATTAGAAAACTAATTCAAAAAAAAAGGTACTGATTTTATTTAGATATGCTGAGCATAGCTAATTAAGTGGGTGTTCTAGAGGATATTTATTAGAATGGATGAGTAACAACAGCATTCCAGATGCACACAATGAACAAAAGACTAAACAACCAAACTGTGCATGTTATTCTTCATTCTTCGCTTTAAAATGACCTTCTTTAGCCTATGGTGAGCAATTCCTCTCAAAATCGTTTAATTACTTGTATACCTGCCAGCCACTTAAAATCCTTTTTCTATGCTGCAGCATCACAGACTTCCTTCTACCCACCAGCTTTAGTTCCCAAAGCCTGCTGATTAACTTGTTTTCAGAATAAATAAATAAAAAAATAAAAAGTTGACTAGCAACCCAAAGAAAATATCACTAAGATAATAACTTCATTAAACCTTATAACCAAACGTTGAATTTTTCCATAGTTTCAATTCACCTGGAGTGACATATTCTTTGTCACAATATTAAAAAAAAAGCACAAAAAGAATAACTGCATGAAAAACATCACCTGAACAGGTTTTTTCTAGCTGTAGCTTCATATCTTAACCTTTTACCAAAATATTTTATTATAGAATGAAAAAAAACCCACACAATTCACTATCAACTGAAGTCAACAAGAATCTTCCTTGGATAGAGAATTTAACTTGAACAAGTCTTGGGTGATAAAATGAGAATATAGAAGAACAAAGTACAGCTGAGCTTCTACTTTGTGGAAATTTCTTTCCCAGAAGTACTTCCTCCTCCCAAATGCTCCCTTGGCACTTACAGTTTTCAAAACTGATTTATTTCACATTAGAATTTGGAATAGGTTCGACCAGTCTTATTCTGGGAAAACAGAGCCAGAGATGTATCATATGCAGATTTCTCAAGAAGAAATTGGTGAAGAAATGCTAATGAGTTATGATGCATTTACTACAAATAGCAATATTCTAGAAGATTCAGAGTATAATTATATCCAGAGCTACCAAGGCTCAAATACTCTGTCACCGAAAAGAGCAGGAAGGAATCAAAGTAGTATTACTATTACTAAGACTACTTACATAGTGCCTTCCATGCAAAGACCCAAAAATGTTTCAAAACACTGATTCACAGAACTACTTTAGAATGTGCATGATAAATATTTAT